CACCGGTCAACATGCGGACGCAATCCGCGCGAGGGTGGTCCCTGTGGCTCTAGCCACTCGCGCACCATATTCGCGCAGATGTAATTCCATCCCCATAGCAAGAAATCGAGCTTTCTTGCTATTAAGCGCTCTTCGAAAGCGCGCAGCCCGTTCTGCGGCAGGCGAAGTGGCACCATCCGCAATCTGCTCGGTCTCGTCATTGCGTTCCTGGGGTTCGCTCGCCCGCTCATTCTACTTCCGCACTGTCCGCGTTTCTTTCTCTCTCGGCAAACTCTAATCGCTCTCAATTCCAAATCACGCGCACTCACTTCTCCCTCAATCAACAAGAAATCTCCTGAGCGACGACGACGAGAATGGTCCGCAGCCAGCAGATGGATGCGCGCAGCGCGCACAAGAGATTGGAATCGCGAATTCAAGAATGGGACGCTCTCCGCCGCCCGGTCGAAGGTCATGGTCGTCTCTTGGTCGTGAAGAACGTCTCACTTGATGGCCGCGCCGGCTGTACGCTGGAACGGTCTTCGCTCTCACGCGCGGCTTCACGCTCCGCCGTCGTCGATTAAACTCTCACGCTCGAATTGGCGGATTTGAACTCCGCGAGCGTGTCACCCTCCGGACATGGGGGCGTAGCGCCGAAGGCGAGTTTTCCGCCTTGCGCGGTACACTTGTTCGTACCGCCCCTCGGCCAATCTCCTTCTGCCTTGACGCGTGCGTCCGCATGTCGGACAAAAATTCAACTCCTGCCTGTGCGCAGGCAGGGGCCTCGGCGGATTCTCCGCCGGCGCGGAACTTGAACATCCTCCTGTGCACAGGCGTTCGCCTGTGCGCAGGCGAATTCCGTCCGCGGCGCTGCGCTGGCGCGGAAGGCGTTGACCGTGGTCAGCCGTCTCCGTCCAGTCTGTCCGTTCCTTGTCTCTCCGTCGGCGCTTCCGCCGCCGCAACTCCGTCCGTCCAAGAGCGCATCCACCCGTGCCGTCCGCACAGTCCGTACCTATTGGATTACTCTGGCGGTCTTCCGACGTACGCTGCGCTGCGCTGGCGCGGAAGGCGCCGTACACTTTCTACCTCACAAGGCGCATTTCTAGGGCCCAAGGCGGATCTCTCGCCGACGCCGAAGTGCTTGTGCACAGGCGAACGCCTGTGCGTAGGCGGACTTCGCGCCTTCCCTAACCCTACTTCGCCTGTGCACAGGCGAACGCCTTCGTCCGCGCATAGGACAAAACTTGAATCCCCCTTCCGCGCAGGCGGAATTCGCGCCGGTGGCGAAATCCTTCCGCCGGGGGCGACCGCCTCCGTTTCTTCCAGTAGCGATAACTCCCTAAGTCCTCGTCCGTTCCAAGCGTTCTTGGGCTCGTTGGAATCAGCGCGTCGAGCTTTTTCCAACGGGATCCGAACTTGGTCAAGGCGCCCGAGGGTTACCTAATTACGAGGGTTTCCCTACAGCCGCGGACGCAACCTCCGAAGGCGGGTTTTGCGCCTTGCGCCGTAGAGATCCTAACTGCGGAGCTCGCAGGGAGGGTGGTGCCTGACCTTACTACTGCACCCCAAATCCCAAATTCTACAAGATCCCTTGAGAATCCCCGCGATCTTCCGGATTCACTCTGTTTTGATGTACCGAAGGCTATTTACAATGCTGCCAGGGTACAGTTTTCCAAAAATGTTTTAATTTCCTCAAAATTGCCAAAAGTGGGGTACCACAGGACACACCTCCGGCGAAGACACCTTCCACGCAGATCGCGTCGGAGGAGCAGGCGATAGAAGTGGGCGGTGCAGAGGAGACAAGAGTGACCGCGGCGCCGACCCCTTCGGGAATAAGAGATCAAGCCGGAGCGGAGGCTCAGGCAGTGGGATTCCCCATTGCCTTAGATATCTTAGTAGGGAGTGGAGCGGTAGTCGCGGTGGAAGCTGCCACGCGCCACAGTTCCAGGGAGTCGCCAAGAGCCTCTGTGGCGACTGAAATCCTCGAAACAGAGGATGAGACAAGTTCGGAAGAACAGGAAGCGGACTGTGTGCGTGGGACGCCAACAGGGGTACTGTGCAAGCAGATAGTGCCACTCTTGGGATATTTGGATCGCAAGGCAGCAAAGCACGCGAATCCCAGAAAACCGCAGTCTTATGTGGAGTTAGTCAAGAACAGGACGAGGAACAAGGTGGCCATTTGGGCCACTAGGTGCCAAACGTTGGAGATGAGGAATACTGCCCTCCAACAGCACCTGGCGATCACGAAGAGGTTACATCAAACCCTACAACAACAGCGGGAGGATGCGGCGATGAAAGCCCAAGAGGATGTCGAGCTAATGCGGGCAAAGATTGAATTGGAATTGCAGGAAGAGCGGAGACAAAACCGCATTCTAACAGAGGAGCTTGCGCGCCAGAGGCGCGCATTAGAGGAAGGTCAAAGCACGCGCAAGGCGGATGAGGAGTTGTTGTGCAACTTGCAATCCGAGTGCGCAGAATTGAAGGCGCAGCGCGCGGATGCGGAGATGCAGCTAGCAGAGGTGGAAGGCAGCAGCCGGCGCGATGCTGATCGGACGCGAGAAGAGTTGGTGGCGCAAGTGACCCACTGTCTCAGAGGATACACCCATTGGGAAGTGGCGGCACAAGAGAAGATCACGCTCAAGGAGTTTGAGCTTCGGGTGGCGGCGTTGACGGAGGGTGACAGTCGGAGTCGGCGGCGAGTGGCAAAGAAATTAGAGGCCTTCTTGTCGGGTGCGCGCGATACTATGGCGCACTTGCAGTCGGAAGTGACCGGGGTACTTCGGCGGCTGGGGTTGCGCAGCCGGTCGGAAGACTGGCAGGGCAGGGAGATAGAGCGCGGCAGTCCGTCACGCAGACGGCGCAGTACCGGATCTGCAGAGTGCAGTAGTGTAGCTTGGTTTTGTGCAGACGTTTAGAGTAGTAGGTAGTGCAGCGTAGTGTTGGTTAGGATCTTAGAGGGTATAAAGTAGTTCAAGGCGTTTGGCCTTGGGATTCTTCCAGTTTTGGAAGTGCAAATCAGGAACTCACTTTCTCGGCGTGTTTGTGCGTTTAGTCCTGGCACCACGTAAAGGAGCTACAGCTTAGTGAAGTTACCGCATTTTGTAGCTGAAGGCCTTCGGCTGAATGTTCAGAGCTAGTATACCGGTTAGAGACTTGAGTAGTGCGGATCTACACCTACGGGTGATTGCCGATGCTCAGAGCCGGTTGCGAGTTAGATACTTGAGCAGTTCCCCCTTACACCTTCGAGTGATCTATCTTGATTGTACTCCTACGGACGTTTCCCCTGAATGCCAAAGTGAAGTTTTGTTACTTCGTGTAAACCTTGGTTATCAATTCAGGTTACGCTGCAGAAGGCACCCTCAGGGCACACCTTTGTAGTAATTCTGGGAATGACAAGTGCCTAAGAATTCAAACTCTTCAATAGACTGTTGTGGTGTGTGTGTGTGTTATTGGATTGTGTCTCAGTTGAGTTTCTCAGTCGGGCCTGTACTCTTTGCGCTTGGTGTGAGTCGAGGGTGACGTCCACCGCGTATGAGTGACTTCGTTCCGAAGTGAGAAGTCCAATCCAAGTTCCCTACGCTAGCAGAAACTAGCGGAAGGGTTGTAAAAGCCGGAGTGGGAGTCACTACCTGCAGAGCCTCTGAATGTACTCTTGAGAGCCTTTCCCCCTGAAATCCTAAGCGGAGGTCCTGACCGACCTCCGAGTTGTGCTTTTCCAGTTTCAGGTGTGTGTGTTGAGTGACTTACGCTGCACTGTGCATACTCCGAGCATCCTCCGAGCGACCTCCGAGTTGAGCATCCTCCGAGTGGCCTCCGAGTTGAGTACTTGCAGTATTTCTGGGAGTGACAGTCGCCTGAGAATTCAAACTCTCCAAAAGTCTGTTAAACGTGACACTTTGTACTCTATGTGTTGCCTCTGTCCCTGTGGGTTCGACCTTTTTACCACCATACTGCAGTTTTAGCCTTTGGTGGGTTATTACACTGTTACTTATCTTATACTCTAGGCACAAGGTGGCACTCAACTAATCTTTGTGCCGAACCACGGTAGAGGCCTTCTTATTCACCATGTTACCTCAAGTCGGACTAGGATCATAGATGAGTGATGGTCATGGAGCCTGGTGAAGTTGCTGTCGTTAAAGATTGCAGCTTCTAAATCGTTTTGGCACAACTAATTAGTCCTCGTAAACAAAGTAACAGGCCGTGCGGGAAATTGTAATCTAATTGTGATGGATCTTGGTTTTTTGCGTGGCATGAAAGAATGAAGATTCTCAGTAAACTAAATCAGGAAGAAGAGTGTAATTGACGCAGGGAATTCTAGCGCAAGCGCAGGCGAATGCCCAGATGGTGTCACTTTGAGACCCACGCACGCCCTCCCCAGCCGGAACCTTCAGCCTGTCGAGCGCCGCGGCCATACGGTCTTCCACTGCAACTTTATATTATCCTGAACAGTCGTGCTACGAATCAGATTTGGTGTCGAACTTGATGCCCAATACGTTCTCTCATGACCTGCATGCATGGTGCAGATGACATCTACGCAGTGAAGCCCTCGAACAGACAATGTCACCTTCCCCATCTGTCTGATGATCTTGCTTCAGAGGCAATTTCCATCACCCTGGGCCGGTGGCACTCAACAATGACAGGGCTCAGTTTTACATGCAGGGTCGAGCTAGGGTCGCTGGGATCCCGATTGCACGAGGTCTCCCACTTGGCCGTGGCTTCGACGGTTGAATCTATGGGCCGGCCGACTGGACAGAGGTTCTCCGTTTGGAGGAACTCGGTCAAACGATCAGTTGGTTCATGAAATCGCCAACATGTAAATTCATGAACACTTCTGTAAATTCTGTAGATGCGCAGACCGAGTCCAAGCATGAGAGGAATTCGCTGAGGACCATGACAATGCAGGAAAATATTTTCCATGCGTCAAGCATTCTGCAGGCAACGTGTGCCGAAGCGATCGGCCTTAGCTGCGCGTACCTTCAAGTTTTGATGTTCCATATAAGAAGTAAGCACCGAATGTCGAAACACAAACATATACTCAGTGTCTTTCTTTTCTTCGTCTCTCAATAAGCTCTCTGGCCTCCCTATCCTTCCCTATCATCGTTTAGAAGGAGGCCTGCTAGTTGTATCCTACAACTTTGCTTCGGAGCTCCATTGGTGTCGGAGTTGATAATCGACTTCCCATCCTTTGCAGAAGAGCACTGAGGAAGCCTATCCAGAGATCCAGGAGGTGAATTCAGGATCTGTCGTATACGTCAGGGAAGAGGCAGTGCAACATGGCATTCATACAGAAAGCGATTTTCGCAGTGGTACTCCTTGCGGTGTCGCTGCATCGACAAACAGAAGCAGCCACTCACATAGTTGGAGGTGTGTCAGGGCCTGGCTGGACGTTTCAGACCTCGAATCCCACTTTTTACGACACATGGGCCTCACAAGAGACTTTCGCAGTTGGCGACGTCCTGGGTATGCATTGATTATGTCTTTGTATTGGTTTCTTAATTTTCGACCGTACCTGTTTTCTATCCTTGAAGTATGGTATTTGATTTTTCTATTCGGAACTGAGATACTTCATTCATCTCCAGGGTTGTTATTATTTCTCCAGAGCAGAAGATGAGAGAGCTCTCGAGAAGTTAGAATATTACTCTCTCTAGATGAGAGAAAGTGAGGTAAACTATTGCTCATAGAAGAATCGACTGAGCTTCTTGTCGTAGAGTGTAATTAGGCTGATGAGCTTTCGTCAATTGTGCAGTGTTCAACTACGCCTCGACTCAGCACGATGTACTAGAAGTGACCGGGGCCGATTTATCAACATGCACAGTGCCAGATAGCCCAATTGCTTTAAACAAAACATCGAATGGAGGAACTCTCACTATCTCCACATCTGGGACTCATTATTACATCTGTGGAATTACCCAGCACTGCCCGAGTGGCATGAAAATGACTTTGACAACAGCAGGCTCCCCCCCAGCACCCCCTGTAGCATCGTCACCACCTGCAGCTACTCCTCCGAGCAACAAATCGGATGCAGCGTCCATAAAGTCTACCCTCTTTACCTTCAACGTAATGGTGGCAATCGTACTTGCCGTAGTCTCGATTACAATCCTCTAGGCCAAGGCGATGAAAATTTTTCGGGCGCTTCTTATTCGTTGTTTGGAATTTCGTTCTTCTACCCGTTGCAATCTGAAGTGATTTCTTTCTCTTATCGGGGACAAAGACTTCCAAATGTATCACATCCATTGATATGTCCCTATCACACATACTCATGTTCTTTTGAAGCATAATACATCGGGTATTCGAGAAAAATAAATTGGTGTGGACTGCAATATACTCTGTTTTCATCTTCAAGATCGTGTTTGTCACAATCTGAGTTGCATTTGCAGTATTGACGACACTGGCATTTCCGTCTCAAATGTCAGATGCTCCAAATTAGTCAAGTTACCTCGAGGTCAATATTATATATACTGTTTACGCAATTATCGCTAAAGAATGGAGTTTCTACAGTTTTCATTAGCTTGTAGAAGCATCATTCGTTAGCAAGCCTGCATTCATTCTACAAGTCTTCGTAAATGAAGCTCTAGACGGTAACGTCGGTTATCAGGCAAGTTTTCATTTCAATACTTACCTGAGGCTCATAACATCATGGTCGATAAAGAAACTGGAGACCTTGAAGTTTTAACTTTGAATATCGAAGGAAATCTTGTATATTTAAGTTGTAAATATGTGGTTCTTTGCAACTGCACTAATTCGTAGAAGTCTCAGAGCAAATTCCAGACTGGTAGTGGATGGATCGAGCCAGAACACAAAATTGTTTGTGACAGGTATTGAGAATCTTGTTTTTGAAAGGCCAAGTTTCCGGCACCTACTTAAATGAAGGGCTTTGAAACTGATGAGTACTAGTTTATGTTCCTATATGAAATCAGAATCATTAACCCCTTTGTAGGCAGAGTAGATATGAGTAATTAAGAATCTGTTTTCATGCTGCTTCCATGTTTGGACTCTCAAGTATTTCTGACGATTATAAGGGCAATAAAAAGTGAAGATGCTATAGTTGAATCTGTATGAAATATGGCGGTGACTTCTTTTGTTGTACTTGAAGGTTAGCGTTGACGAAAAGTTCTATGAAGTTTATGTACGTCAATTTAGTGATAAGACAAATATATCTTCATAACTATGCAAACCTACCTTGTCAGGCACTCAAAAATAAATTTCTATCAAATACCTTCTGTAATTATGATGGTGATAATGAGTATCGATTTTCAATTCCAGCTCATGCTAGTGTGCTACTGAATGGAGTGTTCGACCTGATGGTCATGTTAGATTATAGAGATATGTGACTACGTTCTTAAACTGTGGCATTCATGTGACTCTTTGTTCTCATTAGATACATTTACAGGAGTTTTTTTGAACGTTTAATATATGATATGAAGACGTGTATAAGGTCACTGTACAAGCCCAGAGATTGGTTACTGTAGAAGTTACACGTATATTTAGTCTCGGAGGACATGCAATGTATGCGTTCGTCCACTTTTGTTTATTGATTTTTTGGCTTATCTCAAAAAAAGAAACGGGAACAAAAAACAAAAAACTGGCGATCCGAATCTACTTCTACAGTTTTTGATCTACTTTTATATCCAGATTTGACAATTTCGGTAGCCACATGGGTTGTCCCCATCATGAGCTTACCTAGTTGTTGATTGCATCTTGAGCTACCGATACTTAGATAAGTAAACTAGGTTCTCGTCTTCTAGAATATATTTGAAATATCCTGTCCTTCGTTTTTCATGTTTTCACCTCCGCCATGTCCATCGACTACCATGACTTAATCGTGGTTGTTGCCAGCATATCAGGTACTTAGTTCACTCAAGCACCTGTTACTCATAATGGTAAGTACGTGTAATGTACAAACTCAAAAGGCACATGCAATCATCTTTTGTGCGTTTTATTTGTTCATGAAGTCCACGGATCCTCAGTAGAGCACATCATGATCCGTTGGCAAACTGCCAGATGTGTCGTGAACTACTTCTATTTTAAAGAGGATGAGTCCACGCCTCTAGTTCGACACCAATAAGAAAGGAATACTGCCAAGGGAGGCGTGCCCTCGGTCTTCGTAACCTCCTGTGGGACAATCGAGCACATGAGCCAGTAGATTAGATACTATTATTGAAGAGCATGAAATTCAGCGATACGCTTCTCAACTCTGTTCCAATTTTCGTCTTCCAGCATGTCTTAGAGCGGTTGAAGGTTGGGTGATTTGAAAATCTGTTCTAAGCATCCTAAGATTTTTTCTCAAGATCCACATTTCTTATGGGCCAGGGAGGATGCAATGTACTTGCCTCCAAAATGGAACTCGTTCGATATGGCAGCGTTAAACGGTGTTGATTGTTCGTGATTTCACCGTTATTTATCAAACTATGGTAATGGTAAATAGATAAAGCACGTGGGACCCAAAGGGTGAGAAGGCTGAAAAACACAATACAAGCCAAACATCCTGAAGATGAACCCCTAGCTAGTGCCAAGAGCAACAAGATGACTAATGATGTCCCCAATATAACAACATAATCAAAAGCCACTATCATTAAGATTAAGATTGATCAGTTTGTGTTGATACTGCAGGATTTCTGTGTTTTCGTCGGTTATAGTGATACGTACCATCGGTGTGTCGAGTTCAAAAACAACGTGTAAATATCAGCCAGCGGGGCTCAGTCAAATATACTGTGTGAAATTAAATTTGTGGTACTTCGAGCTCTAGCTTGAAAGTTAAATCAATGATCTCGAACTTTTCTGCACCTGAATGTCGTGTACTGAAAAATTTTCAGTACACGAAATCCTCAAGTTTGATGAGTGAAACTTACAGCTCTTGGATGAAGATACAAGAGCTGGAACATGATTTGTCAGTGCCTGTTCTAAGACTTTCTATGACTAATCGCTCAAATATATCTGCCTGAGAAGAAATGATCATGCACAAGAGTTTCACTATCTTTCTTAACATATCATGCATGCAGTCTTTGTATCTGATCCGATTGCAAATGAAACTCTTCGGTTCCTTTTGCCCTTTCAAATTTAAACTTCATACTTTGGAGTTTTATTTCCGCTGATTCGTGAATGTTTTTCTTTTCTGTATCTTGGTAGCTGATGAAAACTACTGCTTAAAATTCTTTTCAATCAAAATTCTTAAATACACAGTAATTATTTCGATATAAATTACTATGATGTGAGTCGTTTATACAACCAAGATATGGCTGCCCAATGTTATTTTCTCAATCAGTCTTCCATATTGAAAACCAAATCTCCCAAGATTGAGAAAAAAAGATGACTGAAAAGCAATCTGCCCCCGTAGCTGAAGCTATAATTTCTAGAAGATACATTCGAAAAATTTGAAAAGCATATACACTCATTGACATTCCAATCTGCCAATGGTGCGTCAGAACAAAGCGGGTTTTACACGAGCCCAAATCCTAACCGTCGGATTGGAGTTCCTATTGTTGTCATGAGTTTTTCGAAACTTAAGTAAATTACATTGTTCTACAAAGATATCGTACAGAATTGCGTTTGGGACTACACTGTTGTCTTGTGTAATTTTCAAACAGCACAGATGTAACTATGTCTCATGATTCCTACTAAATATTGATGTAACTTTCGATCCAAAGTTGAAGATCATCTGTTCTTGATTGGAGAATATACAGTATGTGAATCAACTGGTGGAGTTTTTAGTACCAACGTGATAATCGCTTGAAATGACTCAGTATGTACTTTTGACATCTATTTGTAATGAGGTGTTGAGTAGGTAGTGAGAATGTGCTCGACGTCTTTACATTGTCTAACATGCACAACTATTTGATTATTTTCTTATGTACATTGTATTCCACCATGGTTGTGCAGCAAATTTATCAATATTCCTGTAAGATTTCTCACTCTTGTCCTCGCTACAATTATATCCAAATATTTGCAATTTATCTAAGTCCAGCATGAAAAGATCTTATGATTAGGAGATAAGGTTCATCATCTTCCAATTTTCACCGAGAAATTTCCCTATCTATTTTTTTTCTTAAACGAGATCATGAAGCTCATCATCTCTAAAAGTCTCGGAATGATTGTACATTGCATGAAGAGCGCAGAGCACATGCATTTTTTGCGCCATTAATTATGGTTCTCTCCGGATGGGCACGTGTGAAATATGCGGCAGAATTTGAAAATAATACTAATTTAGAAATGAAGACTTTGAATTTATAAATCTTTTTTAGTTTTAGTTGAGTTGAAATAGTTCTGGGTTGGCCAAATATCTTCTTTATGTCATGGTTATTGAGCTGATTGAGAGATTTTTTGATAGTAAATTTTTTCGCTGGTGATCTATATATGTTTTGCCTCTAATGCTTCATATTTAAAATATATAAAGCAGCAGAAATATATATTGTAATGGGACATTTCTATGCACCACAAAGAATCACATTTCATAAAGCATGAAAGGTTGAAGACAACTGGAAGTAGCCTAATAGCCTTGATTTGCAAGGCTAGAAAAAACTGCATTTTTAAATGGAAACTGCACGAAGAGAAATACATCTTGCTTGTTGAATGGTGCAGAGAGGAAAGGCAAGGTCTGTCCATCCCAAAAACTCTATAGTCATAGTGCGTCAACCTTCAAGTCATGGTGCTAGAGGATATATTCAAATTGAATTTCAGAAACTGAAATCCCTGACAATGCTATTTACAATATGTACGTACTTGTGCAACAATTCTTCATAGGTCCTTCTAACCTTGATGATCTTAATTTAGCATGTATGAAGCTGCAGTGTGTCTCCTGTACCTAATAATAGCTGCAACTAGACAAGATATATCTTTCTCTGTTGGTGCAGGTACATAATATACTTATTGTTTTCAACAGTAAGTATATTAATGAAAGAGTTGATCGGTCAGCCATGTTCTCAAGAGCTTCCAGAGTGATACTTAGTGCTTAGAATATAAGAGTAGTGACGTCAGATGTCGTAGTCTATGGAGTAAATTCAAATTATGAAGTACTCTATGGCGGAGTATATAAAGGATATGTAGCTCTTTACCACGTATCAAAGATCGAAATCCTTATATTAAAGGTCTTCCTTGTCAGGATCTTCACAGAAATAACGAGATGGCGTGAGTAACATAAACTAACTTGTTTTCTCACTAAAACGATCATGTGTGATACGTGTATAATTTTATCTATGAAAATACACGGCACAAAAATTCATGAATGGTGTAGGAATTGCAGATGGATATATAATCTGGCTATTCCACTGGCTGTTAAACAACTACACACACATATATATATATATATATATATATATAGATACCCCTCCTCCAGGCATGCATTGTGTATCTATGCGCACTGTCGATACATTCGGCCAACTCCAAGATGAGATTTGAATGTTGGAGAATCTCTCCTTCTGCTATAGAATGGTAGCCTCGAAAGGTCGATGAAAATGGTTTCTCCACTGTTTGGTAGGAAGACCTCTTTGCGCGATTGACCTCACTGTTTTCAACAGTAAGTATTATTAATGAAAGAGTTAAGTAGCCCGGTCAGCCATGTTCTCAAGAGCTTCCAGAGTGGTACTTACTGCTTAGAACATTAAGAGTAGTGACGTCAGATTTCATAGTGTATGGTTTGTTTGTTGTCATCTTAGCATTGCTTGTATTTTAATCATTACGTGTCTTCAGTATTCATGTATTCAACAGTTACCACATCGATACTAAGGTAATGAAGGAATGCAAGAACAAAAGGCGGAACCCAGACTCTAAGGAAAGAAATGAATTATTTTGTCTCCTATCGCATGCAGATTTTGTGACATCCTGTAAACTCTTGCCACAATCAACGAACCCTAATCTAAGCGAGGCTCGTTAGATTCCATCATCGATTCTATTGACAAAGAATCAGATTCTGTTCATGAAGGACTTGCAATCTCCTCAAAGAACGAGTCCACGCGTTTGCATTCGGACTGAGAGTCCTAATGCACTGTTCCGTGAGACGTGTGCTCGCTCAGCCTGCCTAACAATTGCATGACTATCAGATTCTTCATGTGGATGTCCATAAAAGCCTGGAAGAGCTTAGATTGAAGCAATGTCGTCTATTCCTCTCAGATATTTTCTGTCTGCGTCTCTCTCTCAGCATAGATTGCTGATTTTGACACTTGGAGAGTGGCAATATCCACCAAAGGACGCAGGAACAGATACATATCTTCCCATTTCTAGACAAGTTTTTCTACATCACGTCTTTGATCAGAATCTTTCTTATCAGTCAGGGAACAGGCAGTGCGATTGCAATCACCATGGCCTCGATGCAGCAGGCAATTTTTACAGTCTTAATCATCGCATCGGGACTGTATCAAGATGCAGAAGCTGTAACTCACATTGTCGGTGGAGCTACAGGGCCCGGCTGGACCTTTCAAGCGAACGACCTGACTTTCTACGATACATGGGCTTCAAAAGAATCATTTAATGTCGGCGATGTCTTAGGTATGCCTTTGCTCATTTGTTTCATAGCTCCACTGAGTTTGGCTTTTGGATCTGGATTTTATCTTTGCTTGTAGAGCAGCTGAATCACTACCAGATCTGAGACGCTTGCTCTGAAGGTTGGCTTAATTGTAACCTCTTTAAAATGTTGCATAAGTTTTTAAGAACTTTTAGGTGCAACAATGAGAATTTTTTGTTGCTCGTTAACAAAAAAACTCGCAAGACAGTGTCAGCCTGAAGAAAAGGCCAACTTGAAACCGAGTTCTTCTCCTTTGCGATCCATACAATTGACAAACTGTGATGCCTTATTTCGCATTGCGCAGTCTTCAATTTCAACTCGACTCTGCACGACGTCCTTGAAGTCAGTACGGACGATTTGAAAACCTGCACAACGCCGGCTAGTCCAATTCAGAGAAACCTGACATCAAATGGATCTCTAACGATCTCCACAAGTGGCACTCATGCCTATATTTGTGGAGTTCCTCAGCACTGTACTTTCGGTATGAAGATGACTATCACAACTGTGGGTGCATCGACCCCAAATACCAATTCTACGAATCCCGCTGGATCGAAAGCAGCTGTGGGTGCTATCAAGTCTCCCTTCTTTACGTTCAACTTACTTTTGGGAGTAATGCTCACTGCCATCGCCGTTGCCACCGTCTAGAAATCATAATTGTTAACTGAACTTTTGGAAGTCTCTTCACTGTATTCCAAAAATCACTTCAGTTCTGCCTAGAAGCAAAGCGCTACTGTCCAGCGCCAGTTTAATTTCAAGAGTCCTTTGAGTGTGTTTAGAAATTAAAGTGTTCAGTTTCATGGTTGCTATCATCATCTTTCAGTAGTAAAGGTGTTCAGTTGATGGGGCTCTTTTAGAACCATCTGAAGAGAATTCTTGAGCTCTTAGTTTCCCGAGGTTTAGGTGCATACGAGCTCACTCCACCAGTGTCAGATATTTGGTCTTGAAGGTCACCTTTGCTGTAGCAGCATGACATGCTTTCTTGCTCTGACGCCTAAGCTCTCAGATTCTATCAATTGCTGTTCGAGTGGAAGTATCTTCAGGATCACAGAACACCGCTGTAGATTGTTTCGTAGTCCCACATAAGAATGTGAGTGGTTCAATGTGGTCTGAACGTCGGGATCCGAGTGCATAGAATAGAATAATTTCCCCCATGTTCAAGGGCTGCCAGGACCCGTGAGTAGATCAATTGTTTGGAATAAACCTCGGAAGTAAAGAATCTTGATTTATCATCTTGATCCATCATTACGGCATGGTAGATTATACTGATTATTGATTCCTTGTCTTCCTTTCTTTCGGCGAAATGAGTCAACGCCAATTCTTCACAATGCAATAAGGAGCTTGGGGGTACTCTAGTACAGAATTTTCTTGCGTACCAGGGAGTGGTGACCGGGTGCCACGTGAGTTCCCAATCCAGCGGGAGACTCTCTACACACTTCCCATTCATGTGCACTTTTGGGTACTTACATCGCAGCCTGACCTGTTAGTATGATTTTATTAAGCACATCTTCGAAATGGTTTCCTCAGATAAAAAAAATGTAGAGAATAAGTAGAATAAGCTACTTCAGAAAAGTGGAAAAATCTTTAACTGAACTATCAAATTTGAAGGCATTAAAAATTCCAAAGCAAAACTTAAGTACTATTCTCATGCCGTCATCCACGTTTACGGTATCTAGTGTTCTCTTACTAGTGAGAACCTCTTGAGCTGTGAATTGAGTTAGGGAAGGAGGTGTACAAAAAAAGTATACACATTACGATAGGATGCAAATGTATTGGTGTGATTAATATCAGATTTGTTAATAAGAAATTAAATTTGAAGGGATCTCTCGAGTGATGCTAGCTAAGCATCACTAGAGGTGTTGTAAGAAGCTGTTAGTGTCTGAGCGAGGCTAACTTTACCATTAGATTTAGACTTATCGTTTCAATTAGTTCCTGATGTTAATCCAAGCCATATGTTTTATGTTGTAGGTCAAGTGCATCACTGCACTTAGCATGTTGCGGTGAGCAACTATTTAATATTGCTGTCTCTTCAATAAAGTACAATGTCTCTATCTCACAACATGGTATCGGAGCCTTCATTCGATCCTCTAGCGGTTGATGATTTGTTTTAGTAATTGTAATAACCCACTAAAGGCTAAAACTGCAATATAGTGGTAGAAAGGTCGAACCCACAGGGACAGAGGAACACACAGGGTACAAAGTGTCACGTTTAACAGACTATTGAGGAGTTTGAATTCTCAGGCGACTGTCACTCCCAGAAATACTGCAAGTGTCCACTCGGAGCGCACTCGGAGGTCGCACAGTGCAGCGTAACACACACACACACACACCTGAAACTACAGAAACACAACCCAGAGATCCGTTAGGACCTCTACTCAAGATTTCAGGGGGGAATGTGGTAACACACTTTTTGTTTTTTTTGCAGAATTTAAACAATTTTAGAAAACTAGTACCGACGCAGTGTTTGTAGTTAGAAAAGGGTACGTTAAATAGAGTGGATTGATGTCACAAAGAATCACGCAGTCGGATGTACCAATGTCTTCGGCGCCTTTGGCAAAAGCTCCTTTTCTGAGGTATCTCTACTCACGCGCCTCCAGCGTATAAGGAAGCTACGCTTCCGGCGCAGACACCTCAGGAGGAGGTTTTGCTAAAGACGTCAGGAGAAGGGCCCGGACCTCTAAAGGCGTCCGACCATGAGTGCGCCTTCGGCGAAGCGCCACTAGCGCGGAAAGGGGAAACCTTCATAACAATCGGGATACACGGTAGATCCAGTTGGTTGAAGTCACATTAGAAAGAGCTCGGGACGCTCGTTCTAACGAGCCCAAGAGCGTCGGAGATGGATCAGGAATGGAGAAGTTATGAGCGTCAGAAAACTCGTAGCCGGACATGCGCCGTTCGCGCTAGGGTTCACAGCCGGAAAGGATTCCCGTACGCCCTCGGCGATGCGCCTTCGGCGGAATCACGCGCTCATAGAAGTAAACCAACTCAGAGTTGGAAGCGCCTTTGGCGGCGGTTCATGGAAGGAAAGCACCGGTCGGATGTACGCCTCCGACGTGGCGCTGACGGCCGGATGCGCTGGCATGAGTTGCGCTGGCGGATATGCGCCGGCAGCAACGGACGAGGCATAAAGGACAAAATAGGCGGTACGACTGCGCGCCGGCGTAATTCGATCCGACTGGATGTGCACCTCCAGCAAGGCGCCGACGGATAATGAACGCACCAGCGGCGACACGCCTCCGGTGAGGGACGGGTTAGGAAAAGACAACAGGGCCGACGTATACCCTGCAGCGGACTCGAGTCCGGAAGGTGGCGGCGGCGGGAGAATTCAACGTTTACGCATGCGAATACGCGCAGTGCGGAGACGTGAATTCGCGCATGCAAAGGGCGAACCGTTAAGCCGTATAGCCGGCTGCGTACGTTGTAACCTGTAAGAACGTTGGACGTTCTTGAAATCGGAGAAGAAAAGACTGCGCTCCAGTCTCATTCTCTCATTCTTGACTTTGCGATTTCCAGTTTCCAAGATTACGCGCAAGGGCGGAGCGACCTGCAGTGAGAGTAGAGAGTGCGGAGACGAGTTGCGCAAGGATCTTGGCGGACCTTGAAAGAATTGCGAGCAGCGATCTTGAGCTTGAGCGCAGAGAGGGTGAGCAGTCAGTGCTTGAGCGGCCGACGCGCAGTGGCGATTGTGAGAGAGCGAGCGAAAGGGAGAACGTTTGTGTGTGCAGGCAACGCAATGTCGAAGGTTCCCCAGCTGCGAGTGTCTCCACTCAGGGTGCCGCAGATCGGTCTACGCGCATTTCAAGATGTGCTGCTGAGGCTGAAGCTTGATTTTCTCCTATGGGGGTGGAACTGGACATGTCCGGAGATGGTGCGCGAGTATCTGCAGGAGAGACACAAGCCCTCTCGCGGATTCCGCCCACACCCAGAGAGATGGGACATTTGCAACTGGGCGCAGGTGTTGGGCAGGTGTGCCGGCGAGGAAGGGGATCTCCTCTTCGAGGCCGATAGCGTGAAGGTGTCCCAGGAGGAAGAAGTCTCTTACAATGAGCTCTTCAAAGTTGCCAGACATCCCAAGAACGGTTTCCGGACACGGGATTACAAGGATCGATTGCGGAGAAATGTCGCGACGGCATTGCTGCAGATATTGCAGCCGACCAAGACCGCTTACATGCATGGTTGGCAGGTAGAGTTTGTGGAGCTAGTGTTGTCAGGAGCTCCAGTGCATTGGGCACGGCTCCTGTGGAAGGTGACGCGCCAACATGCGCAAGAAGAGAAGGGAGGAACCCTCAATCATCTATCGCCTTACTTAATCGTGTTTTATCGGGCGATGGGATGTTTGACAAATGCTGAGAAAACACGGTTTCCGCAGCTGACCCGGAACTATCCAGGTAGATATTCGAGGGAGGCCGAAGTAGACACGGATCCGGACGAGGAACCTGCCAGTACGCCTCCGGCTCCGGCTCCAGCAAGAGCAGCAGAAGAACGTCGAAGTGAGCGCATTCCGCGAAAGCGGAAGTGGGATGAGAGACCTGAGGACAGGCAGCCGGAAGTGCCAGCTGCGCCGACTCGTGGTCGGCCCACCCCCGAGCCTCACAGTAGACCAAAACAGAGGGCACGAAAAATGCCAACTGGTACTGAGGAGACCGGGCGAGCTCCGACCCGGCGGAATCTCACACAGGAGGAGATAATCGCTCCGATTCTAGGGAAGACGGCAGATACCTCTGCACAGAAGGCACCACGGCCTTCGGGAGGAGATGGACGGACTGACAGTCGGCTGACTGCGAGTCGGATGACTGAAGGCCGACAAGCGGAAGGAAGGCCAACTGAACGGCGCGTTGAACCGGACAGCAGGCCGGAAGCAGAAGAAAGTTTGGCTGACGAGCCAACAATCCTCAGAGGGTCGTCTTCGGCGGAAGGCACTTCTGGGAGAACGCCACCAGCAAGCAGGCCAAGTGGAGTCAAGACGCGCAGGGTGTATCCGACTCCCAGTCGGACAACTGCTGGTCGGCCGACTGCGAGTCGGACAACAGAGAGCCGGCCGGATTCGCCGACTGCGAGACAGATGGGGCCAACGACCAGTGTGCGGACGCCTTCGGCGGACGCACCCTGTGGTAACACACTTTTTGTTTTTTTTGCAGAATTTAAACAATTTCAGAAAACTAGTACCAAAGCAGTGTTTGTAGCTAGAGAAGGGTACGCTAAATAGAGTGGATTGATGAGATCGTCACGAGGGCACAAAGAATCACGTAGTCGGATGTACCAACGCCAACGTCTTCGGCGCCTTCGGCAAAAGCTCCTTTTTGAGGTATCTCTACTCACGCGCCTCTAGCGTATAAGGAAGCTACGCTTCCGGCGCAGACACCTCAGGAGGAGGTTGTGCTAAAGACGTCAGGGGAAGGGCCCGGACCTCTAAAGGCATCCGACCATGAGTGCGCCTTCGGCGAAGCGCCGCTAGCGCGGAAAGGGAAAACCTTCATAACAATCGGGATACACGGTAGATCCAGTTGGTTGAAGTTGCATTAGAAAGAGCTCGGGACGCTCGTTCTAACGAGTCCAAGAGCGCCGGAGATGGATCAGGAATGGAGAAGTTATGAGCGTCGGAAAACTCGTAGCCGGACATGAGCCGTTCGCGCTAGGGTTCACAGCCGGAAAGGATTCCCGTACGCCCTCGGCGATGCGCCTTCGGCGGAATCACGCGCTCACAGGAGGAAACCAACTCAGAGTCGGAAGCGCCCTTGGCGGCTGTTCATGGAAGGAAAGCGCCGGTCGGATGTACGCCTCCGACGTGGCGCTGACGGCCGGATGCGCTGGCATGAGTTGCGCTGACGGATATGCGCTGGCAGCAACGGACGAGGCATAAAGGACAAAATAGGCGGTACGACTGCGCGCCGGCGTAATTCGCTCCGGCTGGATGTGCGCCTCCAGCAAGGCGCCGACGGATAATGAACACACCAGCGGCGACACGCCTCCGGAGAAGGGCGGGTTAGGAAAAGACAACAGGGCCGACGTATACCCTGCAGCGGACTCGAGTCCGGAAGGTGGCGGCGGCGGGAGAATTCAACGTTTAAGCATGCGAATGCGCGCAAGGCGGAGACGTGAATTCGCGCATGCAAAGGGCGAACCGTTAAGCCGTATAGCCGGCTGCGTACGTTGCAACCAGTAAGAACGTTGGACGTTCTTGAAATCGGAGAAGAAAAGACTGCGCTCCAGT